TGGGAAGTTTTCTCAACACACGCCTGTTGGTACTTCGCTAATGGTGCTAATGGTTTACGACGTTTGGCGTCTCATTTCTGTATGGTCTCGCGGTTCATATTTTTTAAATCTCCATAATATGGTGATTAGCATATTATGATTATCGTAAACAAGTCGCGGTGACACGACGATTTAGCTTGGTATAATTTTTATAAATAAAATATACGATTTATATCAAGTAAATGTCTATACCAGATTTTTAAATAATCTGCTAATCGTTTAGAGTTAACGTTTTTATATAGTTAAAAATATCATAAGTCATAAACTACTCGAGAGAGAATGACTGAGTATTCAGCATAATCGATAAGTAGCGGCGGTGGTATATAGGCGAACTACATAGAATGTATATATAGGTATATATGTGTATTGAATTTCCTACTGACAAAATGAATATTTTGTATTTCACGTAACAGCATACCGTTTAGCTTTGACGTAATCACGTGTTGATCAAATGTCGCTTTAGTTGTTATAATATTATTGTGTATAAAGTAATAGTATAAAATTATAAAATTATATTTTTAATTCATATATAAAACTTAATAGTATATTAATATTATATAGGAAATAGGAATATATATATAATATTTGTATGGCGTGGCGTGATTGCTGCAATCAGTCATGCAACGTGATTGAAAGTACACATCGTCCGCCGCCACTAGTTCCTAGATGGGTGACCATCATCCGGATTCTTWGGGGCAAAACCTTGTCATATAAACACCCGTTGCAAACCTATTGTATCAATTCACACAATTAAAAACCTACTAAGAATACTGAATAACCACTCAATGTTCTATATTACTGATAGTTAATAAATTTAAAAAAAATTATACGTTAATATGATGTATCGGTATTCTCTCTTTCCCATCTCAATTACATGGTAAAAGTGGTGATGTAACGCTTAGCAAATTGCCTAAAAAATTTATTCTTMTCCGAATCCGACCTATCCTACTTGAGTACCAAATTATACCCAGTTTGGTTTTCAACCAGAACAACATTCTACTATACACCAAGTTCATCGACTCACTGACACTATTGCCTCTGTCTTAGAAAGAAGGCAATTTTGTGTTGGGCTCTTCTTATATGTTGCCCAGGCTTTTGATAAAGTCTGGCACGAGGGGCTACTATTTAAATTAAAAAAATGTATGCCAGCTCAATTATTCTTAATTATTAAATCATTTTTAGAAAGTCGAAGTTCCACTGTAAGACAAGGAAACTCTTTCTCGCCCCGATTCAACATCAATGCAGGAATGCSCCAAAGTAGCGATCTAGCGCCTGATCTCTAGAATATTTATCTTGTCGATATCCCACGAACTCACAACACACTAAGCCACCTTAGCTGACGACACGGTCTACAAGTGATGATATTTCTATAGCTACAGTGCTGGTTRATAAAAATAAACGAGAGCAAGTCAACTCAAGTTACTTTTACCTTTCGCCAAGGCAATTGTCCCTTAATCAAATTAAATAACGTAAACATTCCTGTAAGTAACGAAACTAAATATCTCGGTATTAAACTCGACAACCGCTTAACTTGGGGCCCTCGCCTGAAAAACAAATACAAATGACGAAATGTATACTCCACCTTTTTCGACCTCTCCTAAAGTTCTAACTCAAACTCAAACTAAAAATACTTATATACAAACCCGTTGATAGATCATTATAGCCCTATGGTATTTAAACTTGGCGGTCATTTAAACCTTCAAACATTCGCCCCATTCAGTTATTACAGAATATAACCTTTCGCATCATCACTGGTGTTCCCAAGTATGTAATAAATCAATCTTTACATAACGACTTACAAATTGAAATAGTAAATATACTCTCTAAACGCCATTATAAATCGTACTTAATAAAACTACCATCGAATATTAACCCCTTAATTTAAAAAATGTCTTAAAATCTTATCCCCGACCAGCCTCCACGCAGACTGAAAAGAAACTGGAATCGAGACCTAGCTACTACTCTGAAAAAACAAATATAGAACTATACAATCATCCTTACTGCACCTAGGTCCTAGATAATTAATAAAATCTAAGAAATTGTTCGAAGGGTATTACCAGTGGGCGACTTGCCCTATCATGTGACTCATATTATGTTCATATTTATAATTGTCATTTTCTTTATTTCAATAATAAAAAAATAAAAATAAATTTTGAAAAGGCCATCATTGGATATAGCAAAATTAATAATTTTATAAATTTTCACGAATCATGTATTTACATTACAACGAAATAACCATAAGTAAAAATTCATTAGACTTCAGGATGTGGTGGCTAACATTTTTAATATCAATGTGAGTTGGGAGGGCTTCACTGCTTCAGTCCTACACAACTAAAAACTGTTACTGTATACACGGGAAGGCTTAAGTAACCTTGCGATTTGCGTCTACTAAAATGATTTTTCTTCGTTAAGAGATTATAAAATAACGCTACTAGATGGCGTTGAGATCATTGGATTTTTATATTTTATCGAAGTACCAGATAAAAAATAGTAAAAGATGGTAAAATGCATAACATATTATTATTTTGTTACTTATTCCCCTCTCTTCACCCACACCAAAAGAAGGTTCAATGACAGACTAGTACACTTACACTATCTGTATTCTGTGAACTGTGGTCCATTATTACTATACTTATCTATCTCTTACCTAGTCCCTTGTATCGTATGTATTACACCTTGGGGCTTTTGGATCGTAAGTTTGATAATATTATTAATACAATAATAAATAATAATATTTTATTTATATTATTTATTAGGTATATAAGATTATCATAGTATTTTTCTATTACATTTTCTTTTTAATTGTAATACTACGGTTTTTGTTGTGATAACGATCAATTTCGACTTTTTGAGTCTTCGAATAATTTACATATTTTACAAATTAAATATTGACTTTTACAACTGTTAGCAAGCATTCGCAAACGCCAAACATGATAACAAATCAATTTTTCGTTTTCATACTTTTACATTTCATTCAATTATAATAAATAATATTAGTAGGTACCAGCAACATCGGTTTTTATWTTTTACGTTTGATTATAATTGTTTTTAGAAAAACAAGTTTATTCAGTAGAAAAGAAAAATGATGGATTCCCAAGATGCTAATCGTCCTGAACTACTAGAGGAAGTAAGGCTGTTTCGCAACGCTCGTGAACGAGAAAAGTATGATAATATGGCTGACTTTTATGCATTAGTCAATACACTGCAGCATCTTGAAAAAGCATATATACGTGATTGCGTAACGCCCAAAGAGTATACTGCCGCTTGTTCAAAACTGCTTGTTCAATGTAAAGCTTCTTTTAAGCAAATACAGGGTGACGATTTTCCATCAGTTGAGTCATTTGTTAAAAAATACAAATTAGACTGTCCAGCAGCAATAGAGCGTATTAAAGAAGATCGGCCAATTACTATTAAAGACGATAAAGGCAACACCAGTAAATGCATTGCAGATATTGTGTCTTTATTTATAACCATAATGGATAAGCTTAGGTTTGTATCAGAATAAAATAAAATGTTGATATTTAATTTATTTAAAATTTAAATTATTTAAACTAGGTATATGTTGTAGGTAATATTTACTAATTTTAAAACAGCTCTATGAGGAATTGGTTTTTGAATTGAAAATAATTAATTAAAAAAAAAAATATTCAATMAYTTTTTTTATTTGTTTGATATTAATATTTTAAATGCATATGTACCTATCTAAATTTAATAATAATAGTTAGATATAACAAGGCAATAGTTAGAAAAGTATTGAAGTTTAAACGTGAAAACTAGGACTACTTTAATAATTATTTTTGCTTGATTGATGTATGTAATTCATGGTTTTCATGGTTTCTTTTAATTTATAAAATTAAAATATAATAACATTAATTACTTACTTATAATTTTTACCCAATTTATACAGAATACCTAGGCTATTTTAATAAATGTAAATGTAGTACCTAACCCCTTATCTCATTGATTGAGGACGTTTCACCTGCATGTGTTGTCTCCGTCTTACAAKTGCGTAACATTGCAAAAACTGTTTCGCGCGGGAAAGAACCGAGAAAGATACAGTTATAACTAAGAAACGAAATTTTCATCACATAAAAAGGAGAATTTTGTCTGTGCAATATCGTTTTTAGTTTTTCGATATCACTTATACAAAAAAAATTCTTATTGTTTTATAATACATTAATTTTGCGTTTTTTTAAGCATGAATAACTTTTTTGTAGTTCTGATATTGAAAAAATAAAAACGTTATTGCACAGACAAAATTTTCCTTTTTATGTGGTGAAAATTTCGTTTGTTAGTTATAACTGTATCTTTCTCGGTTCTTTCCCGCGCAAAACAGTTTTTGCAATGTTATGCTCTTGTAAGACAGAGACAACACATGTGGGTGAAACGTCCTCTTAACAATTTATCTTGCATATATGTATTATTTTAAGGAAAATAATTTTCTCATATTTTAATTAAATTTCCCAACAGTGTTTGCCTATTAAAGACACCAATCAAATTATTGTATAACTTTACACACCCGACATCTATCATATATATTATATATATAATATATATATTTAGTGTTCTATTATTTTGTGTAATATATGAATAAAAAACTAACTCATAAAAAATTTTTTAGATTGGATATTAAAGCAATGGATGAACTTCAACCTGACCTACGAGATTTAATGGATACTATGAACAGGCTTAGTATGTTACCAGCTGATTTTGAAGGAAAACAAAAAGTATCTGATTGGCTTAGTTCTCTATCATCTATGAACGCATCAGATGAATTAAATGAAAGCCAAGTGAGACAATTGATTTTTGATCTCGAATCATCTTACAATGCATTCAACAAGTTGCTCCATCAGTCATCTTAGGAAAATATTAGTAAATAATTTAAGCGGCAATCAAATACAAAAATAACACCAGAATATTTGAATAATCTTTATTTATAAGAATACAAACGATAATAAATTGATTAAAATTATATATGACATTAGAAAAAGACGCATTTATTAATAATAATAGTAGTAAAATGCTTGTTGGAAAAAAATATAGAGAAAATCACCACTTGATTGTTCAGTAACAATAAAAAAAACACTGTACCTATGTATAAATCCCAATGTATTTTACTGTTCATTGGGCTGAGGCTCATCATTTTGTTCAGTTTCTGAAACTGCGGGAGGAGGAGGAGAGTCTACAGCTCCATCATCTTGATCATGGCCGTCATATACAACTTGAATCTCTGGATCTATGGCAACAGCACCCATAGGATTACCTCTAGCATCCAACTCCAAAACAGGATCAGCAGTTGCTTCTGCTAAATTAGTCACAGACTTGGACTTTAAGCACTAAATAGTAATAAATAGTGATTAGTAACAGGAAATAATCGATTTAAATCTAAATATTTTAATGTTAAGTTGATAATGAAATATAATATTTATATACAATAAGAAATTAAATTCTCCTCTATTTTTTTAAAAAGTTACATAACATTATCTACTGGAATACATGCAGGAGGAATATATTTTAATGAATAAATGGTAAGACCAAAATTTACTTGGAAATCTACATGACGACTCTTAGCTTCTTCTTTTTCCCATGACATATGAATAAAAGGTCTTTGAACATAATTATAAATCACATCTTTACGACCTCCAGCTCTTTTTTTGACTTTTTCTTTATAAGTTGGGTAACCTTCAATGCCTAGACGAATCTTTTTAAGACCACGCTCTTTCATTACTTGTTTGGCAACATCTCTATTTTCAATGTATTTGAAGAATCTATATAAGGCAGTGCTGTTTACAGCTGAAATAAAAATCGATGAATTTGAATGTTGTAATAAAAAGTTGGTAATTAGGAAACAGTTAGGCTATACTTTAGATCATACACTTTGGATAAAGCTTCTGTATTATAACCACATACTATGTGTTGAAGGCATCATTATTGATGATCGCAAGAGGACTGATTTCTATGATGCATATTGCATACATATCAGTACTAGTTGCACATTGATCATGTATATCACTTAATAAGCTGTGATATAAATTGCATATAATCTARGTTGTATATGAATGTGTGATATAGATTTCCCGCATGCATATTTGCCCCAATTTTCCTTTGGTATATTGGCTTCAAGTATTTAGGTAGTAGCTCTATCCATTATTTATRATCAAAAGGATGTACAAGTAGCAGTTAAATGTACCTCATCATTGAGAAGGTCACTGACCACTATAATGGTTGAATTAAAAAAATTATTGCATACACAAACAATTCTGAGTGGTGAGTTTCTAATAAGTCACAACTCACAAGGAACTAATTAGTTTGATTTTCCTACCAGAAAAGATATTGAAGTTTAAAATAAAAGCAAATAAATAAAATAATATTATTTTATAACATATGTCTATAAACATAAAAAAAACAATATCATTGTAAACTATATTATCAATACATTCATTACGTTTTCTTCAAAACCTAAAAATTTACTAAGGTTAACCTACCCTAAAATTAATTTAAACCACTTTGTTATTACTTATTAGTTATTAGTATATTATGACTCCAATCAGGGGCATAGCGGGATTCGTAGGGTTTGAACCCCGCATGGCCTCACTAACCGATGCACTTTTGTGCATTTTTGCTTATAAMTAATATAATTCAAAGAAGCAATTTTCTAAAAAAAAATTTGACAAAGTCCCCGTGATAAAAAAAATGTTCAATCCCTCCCCCCCACCATTGAAAATTCCTGAGTACGTATATGACTCCAATGTACCTCAAGTTAATATGAAATCATTTTAAGCATTGATTTTATAATATACAGATAAGCCATACAGCATCCATCATATGTTTACCCCTTTTAAATGCAATCGAACGCAGTGACGTCTAACAGTTGAATGCAATTAGCCGTTACCACTTAAAAATAGAATGGCTTATCTATATATTATAAAATCAATGTTTTAAGTTTGAAATATTTTTTATATGAATTTAATCTTTGGTTTTACTTTGTGAATATTCTTCTCCCATTTGAGGCGGATATTCTTCATCCCAATCTACTACATCGTCATCAAGTAAGACGACCACATGACATTCACGATCTCCTCGTTGAGCAGAATTTACCATTAAGGGTAATATTAGATCTTCTAAAAATACTTCAAACTGACAACGAGCTCCTTCATTTGACAACTCATGTAATAATCCTCCTACAATTATCAAATTTGAATATATACAACTTACTTAAATACATTAGTTACTTACGTAAATTTTGACATTTAACTGTTTTAGCATCAAATGGTATTAACAAATAATCACAAGCTTCTCGTAGCTCTTGTACTGAAATTGAAGATGGACAGCGCATTACATTACCCTTATAATACTCCAAAATACACCTGAATACATTTGCTGAGACACCTTCTGCTACCACATATTCTCCACGCTCATTCTTATTTGTATATTCGTTAGAACTAAACATTCTGTAAAAAAGTATAATTATAAAAACAATGTTTAGAACATGAATTTATTTTTTATTACCTTCCAAGCATTGTATTTGAATGGGCAATGAATATAGCAGGATCAACAATAAATCTAGTATTATCTACAATAAGAGTTACTCTTTCTTCTTTATTAGCAATATTGTTTCTAGAACTATTTAAATGGCCTGAACCTGAAGTACTTGGATAGGATGAACCTGAAGCAGTTGCGTTTTGATTCATCAGACTTTTCATAGAATTCATTGAGCAAGGAAATCTGGACATAGCTTTTCTATTAGAAATAATGTATACATAAAATATATGTTATATAAAATAATTTAAGAATAATAAATTATTATTTATTAATASGAAAGCTTAAAAGAGAAAGTTTTAAGATTATACTAAATAAAGTTTTAATTATTAGTAGTAAAAAATACAGGTAAGGGTACCAGTAAAGACAAAAGTGATTAGGGGTCAACAGTAATCAAATTACATATTAATCATCAGTCAGTTATTTTCAAACAGATTTTTATAACCTTAATTTAATACAAAATACAAATTTACGAAACTAATTACTGTGATGATAATTGATACATTTTAGTTACTAATAACTAGTTTTGATTATTATTAGTTTATAGCTAAAATAATAGTCCAACAATCCTGAACTAGTTGTGTTAGTTTCTACCCTTTAAAGTTTGCTTGAAAAATCCTAGTTTTAATGCAATGAGTTATGTATGCAAATATATTTAATTAGTTTAAAATTAAAAATAAATCATTTATTTTAATGATAGGTACAAAAAAAAATGTATGCTGTTTCAGTACAAACAGGATCCATCAATAAATTTATTATAATAAATAACAATTCAATAAATTACCATCTAAACCATTATAATTTACCTATTTCTCACTGAAGTTGTTTGTTGTTTATTGATTGGTGTCAGAGTCAACTGGTTACCAGTTGAATGACGTTGTACCAAACACGATTTGGGTTTTAAGGAACTTCCATAACTGAAATACAAAAATTCAAGACTAAAATACTAAAACATTATCTATTACAATTTATAAAATCAATAGAAACTATGTTACTTTATAACTAGTGAAAATCATTTTAAACTAGATCTTAGTTCATAATTCATTGTTGAAGAACATTTATCATAAAGTATAATATTATATTGATGTGGATGAACAAATATTTTGCTAAACAATAGCTCATGGACCAATTTACAACTTATTTCTAGAACTTTTATCATAATAATACAAATGGCAATAACAAATAGTACTATGTTTGACAAAAATATACCTTAGTCTTGTTTTGAACACACGGCGTCTATGATCCTCAGTATCTTGATAATCTTCTGTGTCACTACTTGTATCACGATCGTAGTTGTGACGGMCGTCTTTAGACATGACCCAGGCTAGATAAAACAAATAAGTTTAATAACAAGTTCAACGATCTAAATTTGGGCAGACAAATAACTTAATAATAATATACGACAACAAAAACATACATTGTTTTACCCATGAACAGGCACCAACCACTAGTAAAATATCTAACGTCAATGAAACCTAGCACCTACTGCCTAATGTAAATGAAAACAAATGCTGATTGCCGAAYCATTTACAACTTTCAACATGCCAATGCAATATTGTAAATTGTTGAAGTTAATTTCTGTTAACACAATTTAAGAGACGATACTAACTAGAACCTATCAACAATGTGGCCACTTCTATATTCCGAACTTTCGAATAACTTATATTTATTACTAGAATGTTTTGTTTTTTGCGTATTATTAATTAGATTGTGTTATCATTATTATCAGAATAACTCTAAAAAGTAATAACACGGGGRTATAGATAATTATTACTCTATGAACATGAACTAGTAATTAGTATGTTCCCAATCAGCATTGAACATCTTAAATCACAGAACATTACTTAAATCGAATATTATATTATTATCTAAGTAAGTGACGCGGTGGGGGATGGATTAGATTAGAAAATGTGTAGTAGGAGATGTGTTATCTCTGGTTTAAATTAAAATGAAACTTTTGAGATTTTGAGTTCCTTAACTCAATATTAAATACTYATTATTCATCTGCTAACTGCTTATCTAATATTAAAAAAGTTGGACTATTTTGAAACCTATGTAGTTATAAATTCGTTGGACGTTGGAGACGTGTATCTAATGTTCTGATGTCTTGCTAAACGTTCATATTTTATAATTTATTTACCTATACAGGAATATTTATATGTTTATTTGTCAATTCATAACAGCTTTGATGGAATGGGGTCACGGATAAGGTGAGCAGTTACAATTTCATTCAATTAATTGTTATATCATTGATTTAATAAATTTATTTGTCTCCTCTCTCTCTCTCTCTAGTAGTTTAATATTTTAAGACAATTGTTTTATTGTTAAGTGTGCATTAATTATTGTAGTGTAATATAGYAAATATTTGATATTTCTTTGCCCAAACAGCATTAGATTTTTATTGAATTACGTTTGTTATAAGTGGTCAGTGCTTATAATTTATGAATTATATAGCATGTATATTAATCTTCATTGTATTATACCAGGAATGATGTTGTTCGTTTATTTGAGTGTTTCTGTGAAGTAGCTGGCCCTAGTAAAGAAAACACAGTCCCGTGGATTCTCCAAAAGTTTCCAGAGCACTATAGAAAAGATGAACTGCTCGGCACTGTCCCTAATTTTGCATATCCTTGTGATTTTGACAGGTAGTATTAAATATTAACTAACAATATCAAACCTTATTCTAATAATTTGAATGTTTAGAACCACGATTCAACACTACTCATTTGTACTGACTAATGCGGAATCGAAGTGGATTTTTGGATTTTGTAGACATGACCCTAAATCTGAGACTGCTTTAGTTGTTCTCAGTTATCTTCCTTGGCATGAATCATTTTATAAGTAAAAACTATTTAAAATTTACAGAATTTTTTTTTTTCGGGTAATGGAAATGTATCATACTTGTTTCTGTTTTAGATTATTAAATTGTATATCTAATCTAACAAACAATAACAATTCTAAAGATCTATGGTCATTTTTGGAATCTGTRTATAATAGTAAGCTACCAATCAAAGGACTTGACTTAAAAATTAATAGTGATAGCGGCGAAGAGGTAATTAATTTACAATACATTTTTAGTAAAGTTTTAAAATATTTCCTTATTTTAATTTATTATAGTTATTTGTGTGTCAGTCGCCAATTCAATTCCAGTTACCAAGCATTCCAGAAAATGTAAGTAGCTTGCAGCTTAAATTGAACTATGGTATTCTAACCAATTCTAATGAAGCGTTCCCACGGTGCGTTAATCACGACAGTGAACCACGCTTTTGTGAAATACACTTCTGTGTGAACGCATAGTCATTAAACTTTCTTTTGTGAGGAACGGCGCACGACTCAAGCGTGGATAGATCAAACATGTTTGATTTTCAGTCGTGATATACTGTTTGTGAAGCAAAGATGTCGTCACAGCAACRTGGAATTATCGACGGCACGAACCCAACCATGTGAACATTTCATCAATTCACACTTTCGTGAGTGTCACAAACGAAAGTTGACTAGCGTGGTTGACTATCATGATTAACGCCTCGTGGGAACGCAGCATAATAATTTATGATTTTAATAATTCATTGAAATAAGCATTATTTATAAATGGTTTAAGTTACTATTTAGTGCATTATGTACTTATTTATGATAATGTGTAGATTCATATATCTTAATTTAGTTAAAAAATATAAAAATAAAATCAATAAAACATAAATTATTTTTTACTGAACTATCAGATTTTCAACTGAAGATTGATTTAAATTTTTTTTAGAGAAATTTGACAGAATATTACAGTGCAGTTGATTGTCAAAATATGATTATTATATTTGCATCAATGTTATTTGAACGTCGTATTATTTTTACTTCCAAAAAACTATACAGATTGAGTGCCTGTGTTCAATCTGCTAATGCAGTTCTATATCCAATGAATTGGCAACACATATTTATACCAGTATTACCTCAATCACTTATTGATTACTTATTAGCACCAATGCCATACTTAATCGGCTTACCTCACTCATTATTCCAAGTAACTATTTTCTATTATTTAAATTTTGTTTTTGTCATTTATTACAATTCTTGTTATTTTTTAGAGTTTGCAACGTAATGACTTAGGAGATGTCGTTATTCTAGATGCAGATAATAATACTATAGAAACTCCATTTGATGATATGGAAAATCTTCCTGCAGATGTTGTCAGTAAATATTTAATAGTACAACTACCAAACTTATTACTCTATCGAATGTGATATATATGAGTAATCTTAGGCAGCGAAAATATGTATGCATGATAAGTACCGCATTTTCGAAAGCATCACTTAATTMTTTTAATAACCACCTTGCTTGCATTGCAGTAAGATTAATAAAACTATAAAAGCGATTTTCAGTTGCCGTTTGGTTTTTAGGAACAAAATTTGATGTAATCCAGTGGTTTTCAAATCATAATCCATGAGAGTAATCTAGGTGCTCTGTAGACATGTCTAAATTAAATTAAATTAAAATAATATTTTGTTAATTTATCATTAATAAGTATTAACCCACATATTTTGTTTTGTTACTCATACAACCTCAAGTTATGGATGTCTATGTTTGAACATTTCTAATTTTTAAGGCCTTGTCGAATTTTCTAAGTGCTCAACAAATAAAAAAGTTAAAAATCACTGACAAGCCATTTTTCAAGGGATGGGTATGGTGTGACTGGACTGTATAAAAATTGGTTGCTACTTGAGATTACTCTTATATGAGACAGAATTTAAATGTTTCTGTACCACTAAATATTTTATTTTTTACGTATTTAAGAGTTTCATTTCAAAGAATACAATTAGGATTAAAAACAATCTATTTAATTTTAAACAGATAGTCTTAAATTATGGTTTTAGTTGTAAAAAAGCTTTAACGCTTAAGAGGACGTGATACCCTCATGTGTTGTCTCCGTGTTACAAGTGCGTAACATACCAAAAACTGTTTCRCGCRGGTAAGAACTGAGAAATCTACAGTTATGAGTTATAACTAAGAAACCAAATTTTTGCCATGAAAAAAGAAGAATTATTACTTTGTCTCAGCATTTTAATTTTTTCAATAAGACCAATATATCAAAAGATTTTTTAGAGTATAAATTTTTTCTTATTAAAGATATCAAACAAATAAAAACGCTACGACACAAAAAATATTATCTTCTATATTATTATTATGTTAACTTTTGTTATTTCTACTAAAAGTACAGACTGAGTGGTTTTATCCTGCGCTAGTTTTTGCAATGTTACGCTGTAAGACGAAGAAAACACATGTGGGTATCACGTCCTCTTAAGTCACTTATTTATTGGTTTGAAAGCTAGTTGGTACTTTAATGACACATTTTTTTCAGTAAATTCCTTTAGTGTAAATAATATTTATCAATCTGCACTTTATCCTGAGCTTTCAAAGTATTWTTTTAAATGTTATGGTTTATCACTGATTTTGAATTCAATATTACAACAAATGTAATTTTCCATTACCTATTGTTATGAGTCATTGGAGATCTTTTTAATTTTTATTTTAGGTATCAACTTTAAGACGACAGTTACGAAATAAAGGTACACTCTTAGGTGATGGTGTATCTAGAGCATTTTTACGTGCTTTAGTTAAGTTAATTGGCGGGTATAGGGATGCATTAAAATTTCATCAAGGAGAACGTATCACATTTAATAAAGAAGCATTTATCGAATCTAGATCAGCAAATATGCAACCATTTTTAAAAAAAATGTTGGAATTGCAGATTTTTCAACAGGTATAGTCATTGTATATGTTCTAAGTAATGATAATTTTTTGTATAATGAATATTAGTATTTAGTAATATAATACTTAAAATATATCAATATATCTCAAAATTAATTATTTTGTTCATAGTTTATAGAAGAAAGATTAGAAATGTTAAATGCAGGACTTGGATTTTCTGATGAATTTGAAATGGAAGTTTGTAACTACCATGATAAATCTAGTAATAGATTAAAGCATCAGTATAAAGATTGGACATTCACTATGAAACGTGAAGGAACTGCATTATTTAAAAGTGTGAAGAATGCAGTAAGTTAATAATTTTAAGATTTGTTTTATTGGGGATGTTAGATATTATAATTGCTATCATTTGCCATATTGTTATAACGTAGAGGACATTTTTGATTTACAAATTATACCGAGCGAACAATTAATATTAAAAATAAAAACCATTTTACGCGTTTTAAAATATTATGCAAAAAAAAAAAAATCATTAAAATAGTTTTTTATATTAAGATACTAATGTAAATTTTAATGTTATATCAAATTCTTATTTATAATTTAATCAGTATAATATAAAATATTTTAGGTTTTATACCTTGTTTCAAAAGAGAATACACCAGGCTGCGACCAGTTTCCGCCGGTGGTGCGCACCATGGGTAATGACTGGTAGAAGAAGAAAACAGTTGGCTGAACTACTATATTCTCTTTTGAAATAAAGTATAGTTGATAAAATGAAATAAAAAATAAATAAATGAAATATTCCAAAAATATTATTTTGAGACTTATCATAAAATTTATAAATTTACCAACTTTAAAATGTTTCCTGGATGTATCTAATTTTTTTTTAAATCTTATTGGACTTACTTGATAACAGCATACAGTAGGTATTTTTATTTTGTATTTAATAGAATATGAATCTTAATAAACAAATTTTTGGACTTATAATTTTTGTGAGGTAATTTATGATTAGTTAAATTTTTAATTACAAATATTTTCTTAGAAATCATTAAACTAATCATATTATAACATTTTCATTGTTAATTTTCAGGCTAATCCTACAGTAAGAAATGCTGTAAAAACGGTAAATTAGTTTCATGTAAAAATAAAACTTTTATATCATATGATACGTTTTTAGGTTAAAGAACGAGGAAAAGATTTTCGGTTGGTTTACAAAGACATTAGATCAAAATTCAATGTTCCAAATAAAAATCCTCGAACCAAAATCAGTACCCATCCAAATTCTGCTCCAAACTCTCCTTCAATGCCGAAGAGACAATCTTGGTCACATACAACAGCATCTGCTAGCTATCGTAAAGAAACTGCCAACGGATTACAAAAATTAACTACATCTCAAAAGTAAACAAATATTTATTCGCTATTATTACAGTTTTACCAAATATCTATTTTTCATAGTTTTAAAGATGCCTCGATTTCACCGCTACCACAAATTAATTTGAACTTAATGGAAGATCTACAAGATGTTATATTCAGAACTTGTGATAATGATGATCCACAAAATTATACATCAGTATGTTGAAAAAAATTAACAATTTTTAATTCTTGAGAATTAATAAAATATTTTGTGTTTAGTCCTGGGATGATTCAGTCAAATCAAATTTTATCATAAATGATGATTTAATAAACTCGTCATTTGGATCTGTGCCAAGTGAGTGTCCTATGGAAACTAAAGATCTGATTCGGTTGGATTCAACATCTAGTATAGAAGATTTTGATCCTTTAAATAGTCCAACTAATAGTAATGGTTTGATTCCAGGAGTAGGTCTTAGTAATCCACTGTATCAGTATTTTGTTCCATTAAATAAAACTCAATTAGAAACCAAAAACAATAATGACCTCCTTAATGAGTATGGATTAAACTTTGATTTGTTAAGTTGTACTGATCAACCCGGTCCATCCATGTCACCGAGTCAACCCACTGTACCTCCATTACCACCAAAACCACCCAATTTTAAATCAAATTGGACCAAATTTGAATAAAATTACAAATCTAGAATTTATAATTTTAAAATACTTGTGATAAAAAYATTTTATTTTGCAATCACACTACTTTTAAGCTAGTGGTTACCACTTATATTAAATATTTTACAACATTGTCCATGTTTACATTTTATCAACATTTTTTTATATACTCATATATTATTGTTACACCAAATATTAACAAATGGACCAGAATGTTGTGTCTGATTTAGATTGTTTAACGCTCATAAATGTAGTTGTATATTACATGTTATACATGGTAAAAATTGTATGTTTATTTATCGTTCATTATTTTTTTTGTTGATTGAAAATAAAATAAAAAAATTGTTCTTCAATAATTAACCATTATTTTGATTTGCAATTATTGCACTTAAGATGGGTATAGGTCCCAAAGCTATTCAGTATAAGTTTTCACAAACTGAAAAAATAGTGAATCTGCGCTGCAGTAAATTCTGAAATCTATATTTACTTTGATGTAGGTTTGGTTCTGTTAAGGTGTTTATGTATTGTTTGATTTAGATTATGATGGTGGTTTGTAACTTGTAAGTGATACGAGTATACGATTATATCATATATAGACACATGAATATAGCAATGCACAATAGGATCATTGGCGCAACTAGGGGGGTGTAAAAGGATCTTTAGCACCCCCTAGTTCTAATTTAGCACCCCTTGATATTTTAGATCTAACTATTATAATTATAATAAAATAACATCAATTTTATGTTTTTAATAGTATAGCACCCCACGTTTTAGAGGTCTAGTTGCGCCTATGAATAGGATTATATGAAATAGAGACGTAATTTGGAGCATGATATGGATTTGGAGTATTATCATGGCGTAACATCAGCAACCATCTTGAATAATATTTTTAATTCGGTTGTGGTTTAAAACAATACTATTATAGTTGAGTGCYTACTTCATTAGTTGATTGTGGTGTGTCTATACACGTTGACAACAGTCTTTTGACCAATTATAGACTTTGTGTTTAATCATTTGTTTAACTAATTCATAGTTAATCACAGCAAAAATAGTATTATTTATTAGGTTTTTTTTGTAATATAATAATTGTWTTGTGCTACAAATATCAAATATTAATATACTGAGAATTACTAATAAACTGTGGTTATAGTGTACCCTCTCAATRTTTTTTGAACATAAATCATAAATGATTTCAAGTAAATAGTAATAATTATTACAAAATAWTTTTAAAAATCTTATTAAAAAAGATCCTAAATATTATTGAAGAAACAATAGTCTTACCTAACTCAAAATTTGGTTTCTGTAGCAACCACTTGACAACCCATAAAAATGTATTGAATAGTTGATTAAATATAAATTTCTCTAGAAGAAAAACAGTATTGCACTGTGGCCTTCTTAGACGTTTCCCAAGTGTTTGGCAGGGTCTATCTTCTATTCAAATTGAAACTCATCTTACAATCTAGTTATTTCCTTATACTTAAGTCTTACATAAAATATTGCTTTTTTTCTTAGCTATCTCTTCACCAAAATCAATCAATGTAGGAGTCCCAAAAGTGTAGTTACTGATCTCATGCTATTTAATATTTTCATATATGATGAACTCACCCTGCCAATGACAAAGCTCTTGTAGCTAATAGCCATGTCCCCATGATCCAACCGYTGCTTCCTCATACATAAAAAAACATMTATCACTCTTCGAAAAATGGTATGAGGAGTGTGGAGTGAAAATTAATGAGTAAAAATCTATACAGTGTATTTTCACACTTAGAACAAGAAGATTGCCCACCTATTACCTTAAATGATCAAATTCTGCCTCACCTCATCTTCTCAACAAATCCTTGTCTATCCTTTAGTCATTGATTTTGTCCTCTACATTCTTTCCTAACCTTCAGCCACATAAAGTTAACAACCAAACAATATACAAACTCTATCTCAAATCAATTTGGACGTTCAGAATCCAATTATGGGGTTTTGCTAAAATCTCCAACACAAACTATATTTAGTGCTCTCTATCSAAAACCCTACATGCTATAACTAAAGCATCCTTCTATGTACCCAATCAGTTCTTACTTAATGATCTTGCCATCTCACCAGTYTATGATGTGGCTAGAACTTTTTCAGGTRATTCAAGATCACACTCGACACAGTGAGAGACACACTAGACCATCAATCCCTTAATCAAAGTGCTTGCCTCATAAGCTATATACAGTAACCCTAGGAAGATTAAAAAGGTGGTGGTGTCTGACCCGACTAATCTACATAGTAAAATGTAATATAATACCATTTTAAATGCATAAACCTATGTATATAAATTACTAATTAAGTGCCTTAGTTGGAAGTCTTCT